TCTTTCAGGGGATTTGCCGCTTTATCAGCGTTCTCAAGAGTCACATGTTTAGAACTACACTTTTGGGAGCGCAAGATCTCAACAGGCTCCTGGTTTTGAATACACACCCCCAGACGGGTGGAAACTGGAGTTTTCCTTTTATAAGAAGGCTTGTTATTGTTGAGAGGGCGTGTGCGACCCCCAGCTCGACGAGTTGCTCGGGGTTCAGTCACCGGACCCAAACGTTCTTTGCTCAGAACTTTGCCTCGATCCTCTTGCAAAGGACCCAGGCGATCGACTGTCTTCACCTTGAATCGGGACAAATCCACACTGTCACAGTGCTCCGTCGGAGGTGCGGGACTCGAAGGGATCGACGTAACCGGTACAGAACGTCTTATGTCTCGACCCTGGCGCTGGTCAGATTTGAGTGACCCGCGGGGTGGAGGGTCGGATTCAAGTGACCCGCGAAGTGGAGGGTCGGATCCAAGCGACCCGCAAAGTGGAGGGTCGGATCCAAGTGACCTGCAAAGTGGAAGGTCGGATCCAAGTGACCTGCGATTTGGAAGGTCGGATCCAAGTGACCTGCGATTTGGAAGGTCGGATCCAAGTGACCTGCGATTTGGAAGGTCGGATCCAAGTGACCTGCGATTTGGAAGGTCGGATCCAAGTGACCTGCGATTTGGAAGGTCGGATCCAAGTGACCTGCGATTTGGAAGGTCGGATCCAAGTGACCTGCGATTTGGAAGGTCGGATCCAAGTGACCTGCAAATTGGCGGGTCGGATTGGAGTGACCTGCGTTTTGGCGGGTCGGATTGGAGCGACCTGCGTTTTGGCGGGTCGGATTGGAGTGACCTGCAAATTGGCGGGTCGGATTGAAGTGACCTGCAAATTAGCGGGTCGGATTCAAGTGACCCGCGATTCTCGATCTTTTCGGCTGCCGTTTTGGATTTTGGCCTCCAAGTTTGATGCAATCTTGGTTGTTTTTTAGCTATGTTCTTCTTCTGCATCTTTTGTGCTTTTTGCACAAGAATTCGCGTGCGCGCAAGCGCGCGTCGCTTTTGAATTCGCTCCTCCAGAGTTGAACGGATCTTTTTGATTTGGATCCAAACATTTGCTATTGGTTTGGAGGGGAGGACATCTGTCCGCTGTTGGGGTGCTTGGCGTTGCCTAATTTTCAGATCCGCCTCGTAACGGATCCCGTCAATTGACTCCAAGGCTCTAGCGAGTTGACGTGCACATCGTTGGCGCTGTCTTTGACGAGCTCTCTTCGATAAAATGGGCGCGCCTTCTGTACTCAACTCCTTGATTGAGGAGGAGTTCAGATCTGCAGATCCGGACTCATTGGAGGCCGGAAGGACGTTGCAAGGTTCAGCTACCGTAACAACGGGGGCGTTGATCTTCCTTCGCTTGCGAGAGGCAGAGGATCTGGAGGAGGAGGACGACAGATATTCCTCGAACTTCAGTTGGTCGAACTCGTACTTGACCACTTCTTCAACCGGGATGCAGATCCGAGGTTGCGACACGACAGCTCCGGAAGCGAAGCTGTTGCCTCCCACTGTGGTCGCCAGTTTGTTTGCGTCGAAAATTGTTGTATTCATTGCGGTATTCATTACAACTTCAATCGTTACAATGAAAACAAAAAAAAAGATTGTCTTTTTATAAGACTTTTACACAATGAAAACAAAAGTTTACAACTCTCGTCAAAACAAACGCAGAGATCGTTTATCGGTCTTCTGCTTGCGTGGGATCTTTGCCTGTGCCGGGGTTTATCCGTGGACCGCCTTAGATCTGGATCCGGTTGATGAAAAATTTGGCAGAGCTTCGCCTTCGCCGAGGAAGTATTTGATTTGAAGCGCTGAAATCGACCAAGCGAAATCAGGGCTCTTCTCGAGATTAAGACCAAGCCTAATCTCAAGGGACGGACGGGAACGGGCGTCGGATCTCTCGAACTCTCCTTCTTTATGCCGAAGAACTCGCCAAGATCTGTCAACCCTCGCTGAAATTCGTGCTCCTTTGACTCCACAATCCGGCAGCACCTCCTCGTCTTGATAATCAATCGCCCCCGCTGAAAGGAGGCCCTAGGCTTGTATTTATAGGGCTTCGAAAGTGGTTATTTGGATGAGAACAAGTGATTTGACCTTATCTTTAGTCAATAACAGCCTAACCACGTTTGTAGATGATATCAAGTCAGTTGGGAACCTCTGGAACCAACAAATCTCGAGATATCTGCGGTATTTTAGTCATAACTCTTTCGTACGACCTCCGATTAGGCTGATTCAAGATGCGTTGGAAAGCTAACGAAGAGATCTACAACTTTTATGTTTTGATATTTTTCAGATTCAAATCGCAGCATAGTCAAAATTACTGTAACAAATTCCGACCCGCTACTGTAGCAGAATTCCGACCCGCTACTGTAGCAGAATTCCGACCCGTGGGTACTGTAGCAAAATTCCGACCCACAGGTACTGTAACAGCCTTAACTTACTCATCCGACCTCGGAATGAGGCGATTCAAGATGCGTTGGAAAGCCGACGAGGAGATCTACAGGATCCCATAATTGAATCATATGTGGAATAAATAGGACACGAGGGGTGCTCTGTCTTTTGTAAATGACGTGGGGCTCCCGATCAGCTCTTGTTTCCGTTATTCCGAAGTTCCGTTGCTACGTATGACCCGTCGACTCACTTCATGTGTTTGTCATTGTCAAACGAGCTCCTGCGACTCTAATAGCGATGTTTATCATCTTCTCTCTGTCTCGAGTCGTGTACGGACACCCATAGGTATTTTTTAGACGCCTACACCTGCTCCTTACAGAATACCTATTGGTTCTTTGTTAGATGGTGATGGCCTCTTGACTTTGACTTATCTCTATTGTCACCTCTCGGATATGAACTTCTACTTCTCGTTGACAAGGTCTCTTCTGAAGTACTAGCGCGAGAAGTCTCTTTGTTCTTCCTTCTCAAATCATAATTCGTTAAAGCATTAGTTACTTCACTATAAGTGATAGAAGATATCATGTTCAATAAAGTAAGTACAAAGGTATCATACCCCCTCATCCGGTAAGGAACCCAAAAGAATAATAGCCTTGTACTCATCCGATATCTTCTCATCAACATTGGCCAAGTCCGACAACAACTTAGTGTAATTATTCACATGAACTGCTAGTGAGGTGCTCCTGGATATCTGAAATCTGAATAACTTGCTCAACAAGTACAATCTGTTCTCAACACTCTTCGTAAGATACTTATTGTTGAGAATTTCTCATATCTTCATTGCAGACGTCACCCTAATCACATCATATTTCAGCTCCTGTTCTAAACAAGACCTGATCATCCCATAAACATTTTTATCCATCTTTTTTCATATCGCCTCTTCATATTTTGGTGGCCTCTCATGGACCGTGATGATCTCCTCCAAATTCTAAGCATTGAGCGCATCCTGAACATCGCTCATTCACAAACCAAAATTGATCTTGTCGTCATACTTCACCACACTAATTTTAGTATTCTGAAAACCAACTTGAACTGTACCCGCTATCTTGCTGCTTTCACTAACTTCTTCACCCATAATCACAAACTCCAAATTATAAAGAAAGATTCAAACTTTAGAATTTAGAAGTTACCCAACTGAACCCTAGAATTTAGTAGTTGCATATATTTTCTTTTTGAGTAACAAATGTGGCATATGTTTTCACTTTACATTTAAGAAAATATCTAGAAAATACCCATTCACAAGTTCAGGTTTTGATAAATATAGAAATCCCTCTAAGATTTACAGGTTTAATAGGAACACCCTTCTGTGGTTTTAAAATTGATAGTTTTATTCCTAGAGTTTCAATATTTCCTAATAAACTTGGATGCAAAAGTTATGACTATACGATATGACGATATGTACACTCATATAGATGTACATATGATTGCTCTATTGAAAAAGATGATTACATAAACAGATGATGATTATTTGATTAGAGACTGAATATGAAGAAGACATGTTACTTTACCTTGGGAAATATATGTCATTTCTACAAACCACTATAGGTTTTTTGGGATAAAGGAATAAACATTATTTGATTTCTTATTTTGATGGCAGTTTTACACTGATACAGAGATGAAAAAGCAGTATAGATCAATGATAGAAGTGCGTAGAGCCTTGGAGAAAGAAGAATAACAAGCAAAGTCCGTATCTGATACTGCAGTAAGTAATCATGCATCTATTTAATTTACAGCGCAGTATGTTGCTAAATTTTCTCTCTTTTTATTTCAATGAAATGTTTTGGGTAGCTTTGTTGCAGACAACATCAGAAACAGTGGCAGCTGAAGATATTGAATTAAAGCCAAGGAACCTAACCTGGACGCTTTCTGGACCCGACAACAAGGAAGTTAATTGGCAGTTCAACAGAGGCACGAGGTCTGGATAGATTTCCATATCTATATGTTTTATGTATTAGACTCTTTAAATATGTTCATATTTATGATTCTGATAGTTATGTTTCGCATTTGCAGGATGAAGCGAAAGGGAACTTCCCGTGGGATTCATTTAGCTAAGGAGTTTTCTTAATAACAAGAAGAAAAAGATGGATTGTCAAGTTTTCATTGAAGTATTGAATAGCTTATATGTCCTCATTTGAAACATTGAAATGATTGTTACCTGTTATTGCAGTAATAAATGAACAAAATGTTTCATCCTTTGCCAGCATATTTTAATGCAGTCTAATATACTCTAATTTCTCAAAATTGGTCATCTATTAGTACAATTCAGTGAGTAATTTGTACCCATTTCACTTTCAAGTGTGTTTTGTATGACAAATGAAAATGCAACGGTTTTTGTGTTTAATTCGTAGTTGAAAGAAAGCTACATGAGTTAAACATGTTTAGACTCATGAATTATGACTGAAACAAAATAATCCTGTATTATGTCAACTTGTTCTGAATATTTAATCTCCATTTACTTTGATGCAGAATAAATACTTCCTATTTTATCCCCTGAATAGGTTCCTTCTCTTCTCTCTCCAACTTCTGAATATAAGCTCAACCACCAAAGTGTGCAAACTTGTGCAATCCCTCAAAAGAACTATTGGCTCAACAGATCCTCGAAATTTCTTCAGCTTCTCCTCCAAACCCTGCAATGAGTTTTGAAAAAAAAAAGAGCTAGCAATGGTCGTCATTGAGGACTCAACGAAGAATTCAGTGGAATCAGGATCAGGAAGCATAAGTAGATAACCGGATCATTTTTGTGTTTACTACTCAGGGAGGAAGCAGGGACCAACTACTGAATGCGTAGACTGGGTAATTTTCTAATGTTAAATACTTGCTTATTTTGTTAGAATGTTGTTATTCATTTACTCGGCTACAGGGTCTAAACTCTATATAATAGTGGCCGATAATCCATCCATATTGGTGACAATGTATGATATTAATGATACATCAAATGTATGCCTGTGCTTGGATCAATGCATAAATTCCTAAATTCACCGACTCACTGTTAGAAATTAATTCTTTTTTGGTGCAACGTAAATGCATGAACAATCATCATTGAGAATTATAATGTTTGTACTATTTAATACTTTAAGGCATATAGTTTAAAAAGAGAGATGCGTCTCCTAACTGAAATTCACAAGAAAGACTTTATATTTATGTCCTGTAGTGCCAACATAGTATAAGAATTATTGTATAACCATATTGTTCAAAATGGACTTTAAATTATATAATCCATGAAAATGTTATGTAATAAATAAATAAATAAATATTTATTGATTAATGATCTTATATTTTATTCTGGCTGCAGTTCTATATTGATGAAGAAATTGGTAAGAGATACAGATCGAGAAAAAAAGTGTTTCAAGCATCTGACACAAAAGAACAGACCTCAAATTGAGCCTGTAACTGATACTCCTGTAAGTTCATGGCATTTTCATAATTTAGAGATTGTAACATATATCTCCCTATATATTTTTTAATTTATATCTGTGTAATTATATTTTTACTAATTTAAGAACATGTTTGCTAAAGTCCATGGCGCAGCAACCATCTGAGGCAACAAAAGCTGAAGTGAGAGAATGGAAGCCTAAGAACCTGACGTAACAAAACCTGACAGCGATGAGGGCCATCCCTTTTGTTGATGGAGTGGAGGTGGCTAAAGAAATTCGTCGAGTTTGGGCTGAGGATTTTAAGAAACAACTAAATAACAAGAAATTGTTAGTATAAAATACTTTTAGTTTATGGTATTTTTTATATTCACCACATTTAATCTTTCTGATTCTAATAATTTGTAGCATTTTTTCCCTTTCTTAGGAGGAAGCGCATGAACTAAAGAGAAAAAACCCCTTGAGATAGAAGTATAGATTTGTAGTGAGAGAGAGAAGAGACTATTGAACTTAGTTTCTCTGAGATGAAATTGATGCCTTTATCTAATTTTTCGCATTATTATCTATTTTAATGAAACATGTTGTAATTTTCCAACACTTACTTTTATGAACCAGTCTTTGCGAAATTTCTCTTATGTTTGCTGTTAGTAATTAGTACTGCTGAGTTACTCAAACTGAACATTGTCTATGATCAAAGTAACTTAACTTTTACTGCCTCATTAATTTCAACTCCCAAACAATAATGCACAGAGGAAAATTTACGTACGCTTTTAACTCCTAACGCCGAATAGGATAATATCACACATGTCAGAAATAATAAAAACCTTGTTAAGCTAATTAGGTATATTTGGCAACATATATTTTTCACGAATATGAAGAAGAGAAAACACTGAAACAATTTGTAAATAGTGGTTATCATCAGAGATAACCTGATTGACAAATCATCACATAATCTAGCTCAAAACCCCCATACATTCAGGAAGGAACACGACTAAACAAAACTCCATAGTTGCTCGTCTCTGAGCAGAAGTTGCCAAGATATCCATATCAATGCTGCAGTACACTGTAGCTAATGATCTCAATGAAGGAACAAACTCGAGGTTCCACAAAACAATAAACTTTCTTTTAGACACAAAATAGTGTATAGTAAAACAAAGATTCATGTGTCACTCTGATCCACACTTATACTTTGGAGTGTATATCTATAGTTTAGGTTAA